GCACCGAAGGATTTGGCAGCACGGGGAAAGCTGCTTTGCAGTACAAAAATGATGATTCAGATGATTCTTTGGAGTACCATGACCCTTTGGGATATCAACATGATGAAGAAGAATCTGACTCAACACTTAACATAATCGCTATGATGGAGGAAGCAGATAGGGATTGTTGAGTGTTTGACTAATGCTGTAACAATGTTACTATAGGCTGAATCATCATTAGTCGAGGAATTCATGCATGCGTAGACTCCATTAAATTACAGAAATTAATGGAAGAACATTAATTTCCTTCCATAGGCTGGAATAACATACATAGCTATTGAGGTTAGATCATAACCAACAGCTCCATCGGTTGCTTGGATTGGCCTGGTTGCATGTGGCACCATCTTGATAAATTGAACAGCATCAAATCCTTCATACTCACTTATAGGATAGCAAGTTCGACAAAGTGGTTTTCCTTTCTTGTCCTTCTTTTGCTTCCGTGACTGTTGAGGAGGATAGGATGATTCAGCATCAGTATCAGTTTCTGGTGTAGGCAACATTCTTTGCCGATGCCGATGTTGTTGTGGATGCAATTCTTGAAGCCATCGCTAGAGCCGCTTGCAGTGACAATCAATACACTGACAAACTGCCAGAAGTACACCAGCAGACCTGTGACATTATGCCAGAGATTGCACAAAGGAAAAGAAGAATGTCAAGAGGGTAGCTGTGTTCGAGAATCTGAGTATTCCTGAAGACTATGATGTGATGTCCGTAGAACCAGGAGATGAAGACTCAGATGCAATTTATTCAGTATCTGAAGGGATTGATGATACTGAACAAATCGGAGGAGGTTTGACAGAAACAGTTTATGTTCACAGATCAGAAGAAGCCGTCCTTTGCGTAGGAGAAACGCAAGTTGAAAGGCCCTTCATCCAGGAAGAAAGTTATGAAGAACTACGAAGGAGCCATATGCAGTACATCCACCTCGGAGTTGTTCAAATCCGACTTCAAGTCCTACATCGGATAGAACAGGGGAATCTTGCTATTCTAGTTCTCCGAGACACAAGATGGACGGGAGATCAAGCGACCTTCGCATCTATGGAAGTTGATCTTACACGAGGAATACAGATGGTCTACATAGTTCCTAATACTATGATGACTATTGGGGATTTCTACAATCATGTGCAGATCGTGATTCAGACAAGGGGATATGAAAAGGCTAAATGATAATACACACAAGGATCAATACAGTCTACCTGGTATAAATACCATAATGGCAAAGGTGGGCCATAGCCGTATTTATTCCAAGTTTGACTTGAAAAGTGGATTTCATCAGGTTGCCATGCACCCTGATTCAATTGATTGGACTGCTTTCTGGACACCTCTTGGGTTATATGAATGGCTTGTGATGCCATTTGGATTGAAGAATGCTCCAGCAGTCTTTCAGAGGAAAATGGATTTGTGCTTCAAGGGCACTGAAGATTACATTGCCGTTTACATTGATGATATCCTGGTTTTCTCTCCAGATGAAAGGACGCATGTGAAGCACATAAAATCCATGTTGGAAATTTGCAAGAAGAATGGGCTTATTCTAAGTCCAACGAAGATGAAAATTGCCAAAGCCCAGATAGATTTTCTTGGGTCAACAATTGGGGAAGGGAAGATAAAGCTACAGCCACATGTTGTAACCAAAGTAGCCCAATTTCCAGAAGAAACACTCAAAGAGACTAAGGGCCTACGTTCTTGGTTGGGCCTCCTCAATTATGCTAGGCAATACATTAAAGATCTGGGCCGAATGCTAAGCCCATTATACTCGAAGGTCAGCCCAAATGGAGAAAAGAGGCTGAATGCCCAAGATTGGGAACTGATCCATAAGATCAAGGCCAAGATCCAGAAGTTGCCTGATCTGTCAATTCCTCAATTACAGTGCTCCATCATACTTGAAACAGATGGATGCATGGAAGGGTGGGGAGGAATCTGCAAATGGAAGCTAGCTGCTAAAGATCCACGATCAACGGAGCAGATTTGCGCATATGCCAGTGGAAAATTTAACCCGATTAAATCCACCATTGATGCTAAAATCTACGCATGCATGAATTCCCTGGAGTCTTTCAAGATTTATTATCTTGATAAACAGCAGCTTACCCTAAGAACTGATTGTCAGGCCATAATCAGTTTCTTTAATAAAACAGTAGATCATAAACCATCACGATCCAGATGGATAGCCTTCACGAATTACATTACTGGCTTAGGCATAGATGTGTCATTAGAACATATTAATGGTTCTGATAATACTCTTGCTGATGCATTATCCAGGCTAGTTTATTCACTGTTTTCTATTACAGAATGGCCAACCAAGGAGGAACCGGAAGATATGGAGGTACTAATAGGCCTTCAGCAACTCGAAGAACTTATCCAGCCCTTCAGAGACATGAACGGATCATCCTCTCCCAGACAGAGCCATCGAGTCGCTGGATTGATCCTCAATTTCATCCCATTGCTGTACGATACCAGTCTCTCATGCAGCAAATTGAAGATAGGTTCACCTACGACTCAGGATTTCATCAGGTTGCCATGCACCCTGATTCAATTGATTGGACTGCTTTCTGGACACCTCTTGGGTTATATGAATGGCTGGTGATGCCATTTGGATTGAAGAATGCTCCAGCAGTCTTTCAGAGGAAAATGGCAACACCTGGAGCACCACTATTTGAAGATCAGATCAGAGAGTATCGTCAGGACCAACGACGAAACTATGTTTTGCAAAGAAGAGTTACGTCCTCGCAAGACATCAGTGGGAACTTGTTCTCCTGGGATCGCTTTTACTCCTCGGGATGTTCTCCGAGACACAAGATGGACGGGAGATCAAGCGACCTTCGCATCTATGGAAGTTGATCTTACACGAGGAATACAGATGGTCTACATAGTTCCTAATACTATGATGACTATTGGAGATTTCTACAATCATGTGCAGATCGTGATTCAGACAAGGGGATATGAGAATTGGCAAGGAGGTGAAGCCAACTTATTGATTACTCGAGGATTAGTCGGCAGATTATCCAACACTCCTAACGTTGGATTTGCATATGAAATTCAAGGAGTTACTGAATTTCTAACATCTCGAGGACCTATATACATCTTTCCACCCTTTAATTTCTTGTTGGCCTTTGACTTTGAATTTATACCGTTGAACTCAACAGTATAAGTATTTTCTTCCAAGGCTTCTTCTGGGACGGAGTCAGCATCTACGACGCAAGTGGTTGCTCCTGTATCGAGGATTGCGCGTAGTTGGATTCGTTGTACTCCTGGAACCTCCAGTTCCACGGTGAGATTGTAAAGCATGTTCTTCTTCTTTTCCTTGAATTCTTCTCCTGCAATAACTTCATCAAGGGCAAGAATCTTTTCTGAAGGACCTTCTTCAAAGTGAACATGAGCTTCAGCTTCTCTTTCCAACTCCTGAATTTCTTCTTCTTTGTATTTTCCCTTCATTCTTAGTTCCCGTTCATCATCCTGAAGCTTAATTGTTAACTTGAGTTCCTCAAGTTCAGTCTTGTATTGGATTGCTTCTTCCCGAAGCCTCTTCATCTCAGCTTCACACCACCGGATGTATTCTTGTTGCTCTTGTAACAATGGCTTTTGATTGTAGGGAATCGGAGCTTTCCGAGTGATGAACGTAGTGAGGTTGAAGTAATGCTTGGCACAAAGAGCACATGTCAAGGCATTACATTTGTTGCAGAAAGCCTTCGAGTATGAGGATAAATCCCTTCTACATGTAGTGCATTCTGGTCTCCTGTCTTCAGGTAATGGGTTTTGTTGATCCCATTCATGTTGACAGTGATAGATCTCGGGTGAGACTTTAACTTGAGCCCGATATCCTCCTTCATTGCCAAGCCAATAAACATTATCAGCTTCTCGAAGCATATAAATTGTTTCTGTCAAACCTCCTCCGATTTGTTCAGTATCATCAATCCCTTCAGATACTGAATAAATTGCATCTGAGTCTTCATCTCCTGGTTCTTTATAGTAACCTGGGGGACCCATCATTGAATCCTGCGGAGGATTATAATGAGAGGTTACCGCTGATGATGAGGATAAAAGATAATGAGGCTGCTTCTGTTGTCTCTTCTCAATTAAAGCCTTTATCTTTGCGATCTGCGGATACTCAGTTTCTGCTTCTCTATCTGCTTCCTCCATCATAGCAATTATGTTGAGGGTTGAGTCAGATTCTTCTTCATCATGTTGATATCCCAAAGGGTCATGGTACTCCAAAGAATCGTCTGAATCATCATTTTTGTACTGCAAAGCAGCTTTCCCCGTGCTGCCAAATCCTTCGGTGCTCCTCCAGTTGCGAGCATCATGTCTTTCATCATTCCGAATGTCACAGAGATTGCGAGCATCTTTCTCCACCATTCTTGGTAAAGAAACCTTCTCAAAGATGATCTGAGCAATTCTGTCACCAGCGCGCACTTCAAATTCCTCCTGATTATGATTAAAGAGAAGGACCTTGATTTCTCCTCTGTAATCAGGGTCAATTACTCCTGCGCCAACATCGATGCCGTGTAGCAAGGCAAGCCCTGATCTTGGGGCAATTCTTCCATACATTCCACAGGGTATTTCCATGGCTAAACCCGTAGAAATTAATGTTCTTCCATAGGCTGGAATAACATACATAGCTATTGAGGTTAGATCATAACCAACAGCTCCATCGGTTGCTCGGATTGGCCTGGTTGCATGTGGCACCATCTTGATAAATTGAACAGCATCAAATCCTTCATACTCACTTATAGGATAGCAAGTTCGACAAAGTGGTTTTCCTTTCTTGTCCTTCTTTTGCTTCCGTGACTGTTGAGGAGGATAGGATGATTCAGCATCAGTATCAGTTTCTGGTGTAGGCAACATTCTTTGCCGATGCCGATGTTGTTGTGGATGCAATTCTTGTTGAGGTTGAGGTTGAGGTTGAGGTTGAGGTCGTGGTTTCCATTTTCTTCGTTCTGAATACGGTCTTTCTCGCCTTTCACCACCTTCCGTTCGTCTTTGGAACTCTGCATATCTCGTGCTTGCTTCTTCAAGAGTTTCTTTGAAAACATTTGGTTGTTCTTCAAAGAATAGCAAGGTCTCTTCTTGTTGGTTTATGTCCTTCATGACTGGATAGTCTGTTGAGTCATCAGGATGAGGGATATATGTGGAATTATATCCCAAAGGATAATCATCATCTGATTCCCATCCAGTTGCCAATATTTGTTGGCACTCTTCTTCAAAACTTCTTCCAGAGTAGTGGCTGGGAGCATTGTATTTGACAAGATAATCATATTTGCCACTAGGCTGGCCAAGCGTATCCCAAATATCCTTATCTGTAAGAATATTGAGGTCTTCCTTCTGGCTTGTTTGCTCTTCGAGGTATAACAGTGTCTCTTGCTGATTACGGGATTCATTCTGAATAGATTGAGCGTCATCGTCAGATTGCATAATTTCATTATCATTTGCATCATAATGAACTGGATCTGCACGTTGAGCGGCTACATAATCTCCGAATCGCAGGCTGAAATTTCCTCCAGGTAAATTTCGAGAGACAGCTGTTGTAGGCTGTTGAGGATGTATCCTTCTGACTGGTGGTCGGATAATCCAGTTACGTCCTCGCAAGACATCAGTGGGAACTTGTTCTCCTGGGATCGCTTTGACTCCTCGAGATGTTAGAAATTCAGTAACTCCTTGAATTTCATATGCAAATCCAACGTTAGGAGTGTTGGATAATCTGCCGACTAATCCTCGAGTAATCAATAAGTTGGCTTCACCTCCTTGCCAATTCTCATATCCCCTTGTCTGAATCACGATCTGCACATGATTGTAGAAATCTCCAATAGTCATCATAGTATTAGGAACTATGTAGACCATCTGTATTCCTCGTGTAAGATCAACTTCCATAGATGCGAAGGTCGCTTGATCTCCCGTCCATCTTGTGTCTCGGAGAACTAGAACAGCAAGATTCCCCTGTTCTATCCGATGTAGGACTTGAAGTCGGATTTGAACAACTCCGAGGTGGATGTACTGCATATGGCTCCTTCGTAGTTCTTCATAACTTTCTTCCTGGATGAAGGGCCTTTCAACTTGCGTTTCTCCTACGCAAAGGACGGCTTCTTCTGATCTGTGAACATAAACTCGATGATGAGCATCATCTCGTCTAGTTCTGTATAACACCTCGGCTGGTGCTATATTTGCTCGTTCCGCCATAGACAATTGTAACTGCACTTCAGGAGAGAGCTGCTGCTCTAAGGTATTTGATGGTGAAGGACGTCCCCTTAGTCGTTGAAGTGCGTTTCTTGCTCTTCTTTGCAAAACATAGTTTCGTCGTTGGTCCTGACGATACTCTCTGATCTGATCTTCAAATAGTGGTGCTCCAGGTGTTGCTGTTGTTGGCCGAGGTTGGTTGGTAACTCGTGGCAGGGTCACCGTCCTTGTCCTGGATGTTGAGGCCATTATGAATTCTTAAGCCTGAGTTTATCAAGCTCGTCTTGTAGCAACTTGTTTGGATCACGATGAACTCTGAGAAGTCCCTTCCCTTCTTTTGGCTTCTCCTTTGGTCCGAGTGAGAGTTTTGCGATTTTTGCAACAAGATCGTCGGTTGAAAGTGCTGGAGACTTCTGGGCTTCCAAAGCTCGGATTCTTCCTTCAAGTGCTTCAACCTGTTTTGACAATCTTAAACAAAGTTCAATTATGGTGTTATTCTGACGAATCAGGGTTTTCACTCCTGATGGTATGGACAACTTGTCAGAGGAAGTTGTTAGGCCGATTCCTGGTGCTTCAGTTGTTTCAGATGCTTTGAGAGCTTCAAGGTACACCAGTTCGTTTTGACTCATTCAACGAGTGCTCGCTTGAGCTGTTGAAGAATCCCTTCAATCGACTTTAGTTGTTGTTCCTCTTTGTTCCACGACTTACTTTCTAGAAAAACCTGGGTTAAGGAATTAATTCCTTTTTCAAGTTTCTCTATCTTCTCACCAAGTTGCAGGACTGTAGCTTCTAAGGACTGAATTTGAATTTGTTGACAGATCGTGATTCAGACAAGGGGATATGAGAATTGGCAAGGAGGTGAAGCCAACTTATTGATTACTCGAGGATTAGTCGGCAGATTATCCAACACTCCTAACGTTGGATTTGCATATGAAATTCAAGGAGTTACTGAATTTCTAACATCTCGAGGAGTCAAAGCAATCCCAGGAGAACAAGTTCCCACTGATGTCTTGCGAGGACGTAACTGGATTATCCGACCACCAGTCAGAAGGATACATCCTCAATAGCCTACAACAGCTGTCTCTCGAAATTTACCTGGAGGAAATTTCAGCCTGCGATTCGGAGATTATGTAGCCGCTCAACGTGCAGATCCAGTTCATTATGATGCAAATGATAATGAAATTATGCAATCTGACGATGACGCTCAATCTATTCAGAATGAGTCCCGTAATCAGCAAGAGACACTGTTATACCTCGAAGAGCAAACAAGCCAGAAGGAAGACCTCAATATTCTTACAGATAAGGATATTTGGGATACGCTTGGCCAGCCTAGTGGCAAATATGATTATCTTGTCAAATACAATGCTCCCAGCCACTACTCTGGAAGAAGTTTTGAAGAAGAGTGCCAACAAATATTGGCAACTGGATGGGAATCGGTCATGGTACTCCAAAGAATCGTCTGAATCATCATTTTTGTACTGCAAAGCAGCTTTCCCCGTGCTGCCAAATCCTTCGGTGCTCCTCCAGTTGCGAGCATCATGTCTTTCATCATTCCGAATGTCACAAAGATTGCGAGCATCTTTCTCCACCATTCTTGGTAAAGAAACCTTCTCAAAGATGATCTGAGCAATTCTGAATTTCTTCTTCTTTGTATTTTCCCTTCATTCTTAGTTCCCGTTCATCATCCTGAAGCTTAATTATTAACTTGAGTTCCTCAAGTTCAGTCTTGTATTGGATTGATTCTTCCCGAAGCCTCTTCATCTCAGCTTCACACCACCGGATGTATTCTTGTTGCTCTTGTAACAATGGCTTTTGATTGTAGGGAATGTACTGCAAAGCAGCTTTCCCCGTGCTGCCAAATCCTTCGGTGCTCCTCCAGTTGCGAGCATCATGTCTTTCATCATTCCGAATGTCACAGAGATTGCGAGCATCTTTCTCCACCATTCTTGGTAAAGAAACCTTCTCAAAGATGATCTGAGCAATTCTGTCACCAGCGCGCACTTCAAATTCCTCCTGATTATGATTAAAGAGAAGGACCTTGATTTCTCCTCTGTAATCAGGGTCAATTACTCCTGCGCCAACATCGATGCCGTGTAGCAAGGCAAGCCCTGATCTTGGGTCCTTGTGTGTATTATCATTTAGCCTTTTATAATTACACACCATTCGTTCCTTGCCACGTTTCTCATCCTTCGTGACGGGATCAATGTACGTACCAGAATTTACGATGAAAGCTGTGGTACGATGTCGGTGTTCGAAAGGCTACCACCTACAAAGGAAAGCCACATAATTCTCACGTTAGAATTGACAAGAGAAAGTATTTACAAAAGTCAAAACATTGTAAATGCTACTTATGTGGAGAGGAGGGACACTATGCCAGAGATTGCACAAAGGAAAAGAAGAATGTCAAGAGGGTAGCTGTGTTCGAAAATCTGAGTATTCCTGAAGACTATGATGTGATGTCCGTAGAACCAGGAGATGAAGACTCAGATGCAATTTATTCAGTATCTGAAGGGATTGATGATACTGAACAAATCGGAGGAGGTTTGACAGAAACAATTTATATGCTTCGAGAAGCTGATAATGTTTATTGGCTTGGCAAGGAAGGAGGATATCGGGCTCAAGTTAAAGTCTCACCTGAGATCTATCACTGTCAACATGAATGGGATCAACAAAACCCATTACCTGAAGACAGGAGACCAGAATGCACTACATGTAGAAGGGATTTATCCTCATACTCGAAGGCTTTCTGCAACAAATGTAATGCCTTGACATGTGCTCTTTGTGCCAAGCATTACTTCAACCTCACTACGTTCATCACTCGGAAAGCTCCGATTCCCTACAATCAAAAGCCATTGTTACAAGAGCAACAAGAATACATCCGGTGGTGTGAAGCTGAGATGAAGAGGCTTCGGGAAGAAGCAATCCAATACAAGACTGAACTTGAGGAACTCAAGTTAATAATTAAGCTTCAGGATGATGAACGGGAACTAAGAATGAAGGGAAAATACAAAGAAGAAGAAATTCAGGAGTTGGAAAGAGAAGCTGAAGCTCATGTTCACTTTGAAGAAGGTCCTTCAGAAAAGATTCTTGCCCTTGATGAAGTTATTGCAGGAGAAGAATTCAAGGAAAAGAAGAAGAACATGCTTTACAATCTCACCGTGGAACTGGAGGTTCCAGGAGTACAACGAATCCAACTACGCGCAATCCTTGATACAGGAGCAACCATTTGCGTCGTAGATGCTGACTCCGTCCCAGAAGAAGCTTTGGAAGAAAATACTTATACTGTTGAGTTCAACGGTATAAATTCAAAGTCAAAGGCCAACAAGAAATTAAAGGGTGGAAAGATGTATATAAGGGACAATTGGTTTCGAATCCCTTATACATACAGTTTCCCATTTAAACTTGGAGGAAGAATTCAGATGATTATCGGGTGCAACTTCATTCGAGCAATGTATGGAGGAGTACGTATTGAAGGAGACAATGTTACATTCTACAAGAATGTAATAACAATCCAGACCCGTCAATCAGTGAATCTCTTGGAAGAGCTTGAAGAAGAAGAGGATTTCACAGTGGATCATTATTATGAGCCTTCAACAGAATGGCTATTTCATTCCACTCATATTAATCCTCATTTTGAGCAGCAATTTGAAGAATTAATGATGCAGCTCAAAACCTGTGGAATCATAGGCGAAGACCCTATGAAGTATTGGTCGCACAATCAGATTACCTGCAAATTGGACTTGAAGAATCCCGATTTCACAATCAATGATCGTCCAATGAAGCATATAACTCCGGCGATGAAGGAAAGCTTCAAGAAACATATTGATCAGCTTCTACAATTAAAGGTAATCCGACCAAGTAAAAGTCGACATCGTACCACAGCTTTCATCGTAAATTCTGGTACGTACATTGATCCCGTCACGAAGGATGAGAAACGTGGCAAGGAACGAATGGTGTGTAATTATAAAAGGCTAAATGATAATACACACAAGGATCAATACAGTCTACCTGGTATAAATACCATAATGGCAAAGGTGGGCCATAGCCGTATTTATTCCAAGTTTGACTTGAAAAGTGGATTTCATCAGGTTGCCATGCACCCTGATTCAATTGATTGGACTGCTTTCTGGACACCTCTTGGGTTATATGAATGGCTGGTGATGCCATTTGGATTGAAGAATGCTCCAGCAGTCTTTCAGAGGAAAATGGATTTATGCTTCAAGGGCACTGAAGATTACATTGCCGTCTACATTGATGATATCCTGGTTTTCTCTCCAGATGAAAGGACGCATGAGTAATCAATAAGTTGGCTTCACCTCCTTGCCAATTCTCATATCCCCTTGTCTGAATCACGATCTGCACATGATTGTAGAAATCCCCAATAGTCATCATAGTATTAGGAACTATGTAGACCATCTGTATTCCTCGTGTAAGATCAACTTCCATAAATGCGAAGGTCGCTTGATCTCCCGTCCATCTTGTGTCTCGGAGAACTAGAACAGCAAGATTCCCCTGTTCTATCCGATGTAGGACTTGAAGTCGGATTTGAACAACTCCGAGGTGGATGTACTGCATATGGCTCCTTCGTAGTTCTTCATAACTTTCTTCCTGGATGAAGGGCCTTTCAACTTGCGTTTCTCCTACGCAAAGGACGGCTTCTTCTGATCTGTGAACATAAACTCGATGATGAGCATCATCTCGTCTAGTTCTGTATAACACCTCGGCTGGTGCTATATTTGCTCGTTCCGCCATAGACAATTGTAACTGCACTTCAGGAGAGAGCTGCTGCTCTAAGGTATTTGATGGTGAAGGACGTCCCCTTAGTCGTTGAAGTGCGTTTCTTGCTCTTCTTTGCAAAACATAGTTTCGTCGTTGGTCCTGACGATACTCTCTGATCTGATCTTCAAATAGTGGTGCTCCAGGTGTTGCTGTTGTTGGCCGAGGTTGGTTGGTAACTCTTGGCAGGGTCACCGTCCTTGTCCTGGATGTTGAGGCCATTATGAATTCTTAAGCCTGAGTTTATCAAGCTCGTCTTGTAGCAACTTGTTTGGATCACGATGAACTCTGAGAAGTCCCTTCCCTTCCTTTGGCTTCTCCTTTGGTCCGAGTGAGAGTTTTGCGATTTTTGCAACAAGATCGTCGGTTGAAAGTGCTGGAGACTTCTGGGCTTCCAAAGCTCGGATTCTTCCTTCAAGTGCTTCAATTTCTCGTTCACCACAGGGTTTCACTGGACTTACTCCTCTCTGCCAGATATAGGGCCTGTGTCTTTTACTTAAATCTTAACTTCAAGGATTATACTGCCTTTAGAAATTATGTGCTTCACATGCGTCCTTTCATCTGGAGAGAAAACCAGGATATCATCAATGTAGACGGCAATGGACCTTGAGATTTAAATATAGTCTATAGCGCTTCCTTTTGGTAAATTGGTAATCTAGATAGCTCAGACTAGTTAATATATTCTTACTCAGACCAGTAGGAATGCTATGACAAATATATGGGAACAAAACATTAGAGAATGGTATGATAAATCAGGAACTTCACGCCTGAACTACCTTGATCTTGCCTCAACTGAAAAGCCATCAACTAAAGAACAAGCTCATAATATTGCTGTAATTTACGATCGTGTCTGCCTCTCAAGCAAAGTTAACCTGAAAGAATTTAGAAGTCAACAAATTCAAATTCAGTCCTTAGAAGCTACAGTCCTACAACTTGGTGAGAAGATAGAGAAACTTGAAAAAGGAATTAATTAGATTGAGCGTCATCGTCAGATTGCATAATTTCATTATCATTTGTATCATAATGAACTGGATCTGCACGTTGAGCGGCTACATAATCTCCGAATCGCTGTACGATACCAGTCTCTCATGCAGCAAATTGAAGATAGGTTCACCTACGACTCAGGAATCTCTTCTTCAAAACTTCTTCCAGAGTAGTGGCTGGGAGCATTGTATTTGACAAGATAATCATATTTGGAAGGGTGGGGAGGAATCTGCAAATGGAAGCTAGCAGCTAGCTGGCATATGCAGATTCCACTGGCATATGCGCAAATCTGCTCCGTTGATCGTGGATCTTTAGCAGCTAGCTTCCATTTGCAGATTCCTCCCCACCCTTCCAAGTGCTGGAGACTTCTGGGCTTCCAAAGCTCGGATTCTTCCTTCAAGTGCTTCAACCTGTTTTGGATCGTGATGGTTTATGATCTACTGTTTTATTAAAGAAACTGATTATGGCCTGACAATCAGTTCAAGTTAATAATTAAGCTTCAGGATGATGAACGGGAACTAAGAATGAAGGGAAAATACAAAGAAGAAGAAATTCAGGAGTTGGAAAGAGAAGCTGAAGCTCATGTTCACTTTGAAGAAGGTCCTTCAGAAAAGATTCTTGCCCTTGATGAAGTAATTGCAGGAGAAGAATTCAAGGAAAAGAAGAAGAACATGCTTTACAATCTCACCGTGGAACTGGAGGTTCCAGGAGTACAACGAATCCAACTACGCGCAATCCTCGATACAGGAGCAACCACTTGCGTCGTAGATGCTGACTCCGTCCCAGAAGAAGCCTTGGAAGAAAATACTTATACTGTTGAGTTCAACGGTATAAATTCAAAGTCAAAGGCCAACAAGAAATTAAAGGGTGGAAAGATGTATATAGGGGACAATTGGTTTCGAATCCCTTATACATACAGTTTCCCATTTAAACTTGGAGGAAGAATTCAGATGATTATCGGGTGCAACTTCATTCGAGCAATGTATGGAGGAGTACGTATTGAAGGAGACAATGTTACATTCTACAAGAATGTAATAACAATCCAGACCCGTGTGAATTTTTAGTTTTTTTTGGCCATCTAACATGTATTCTCTATTTTATTCATAATGAAAACTCTCTCTCCCGTGGACATAGACAATTAGGGCCGAACTATATAAATCTGTGTGTGATTATTTTTTTCTCTTTGTTGTATGTGTGGGTGTGCTTCAGTTTGCCTTGGTGGGATATGGCATAAATCCCAACAAGTAGGGAAGCACACCTACACACACAACAAAAAGAAAAAATAATCACACACAGATTTACGTAGTTCAGCCCAAATTGCCTATACCCACTGGAGAGAAAACTTCCACTATAAATAAAATAGATAATATATGTGAGATGACCAAAAAATACTCAAAACCCAC